CCTCCCCACACCATTCCCCTGCTGCGGTCCTGAGGAGCTAGGGCCTGTCGTCCCTGAGGAAAGGCGGCTACACATCAAGGACACCTCGGCAGCCGGCTCGGCCTCCAGGTGCCGCTCAGCAGGGCGGCTCCGGCACGTGGGGCCCGACGAGCCAGGCCAGGCTGCCGCCACAGGCCGCTTCCCAGGCGCTCCAACGCTTAACACGCAGCGGAGACCAGCACCGGGAAGGGATCCGCAAAGAGACGGTTAAGGCGGCAGCTGCACCCTGCAGATCGGGATGGCCGTTTCTCCATAGGGAGATGAGGGGCTCCTGGGAAGGAGGGAGCAATCCCGGCCAGCGTGGGGCTGCAGCAGTCCCTGCTCACACGGGTCACCTCTGGTTCAGAGGGGTGAGCGAGCGAGGCCTCGCACTTACTGGGGCATAAACTGAGTGTGTTCAAGCCAGCCACCGACTCGGACAACAGGCTCCCAGGCACTGCTGCCCGGGCACATCACAGTCCGGCACAAAAAGCAACCAAGCCCGGAACTCCAGCACAGCCCCCCCGCTGATTAAACAACACAGCGACTTCTCCAGACCTACTACATTAAGAAAGATGAAGGTCACTCAGATTAATTCATTTTTGCTTTGGTGAGGGAATGCACCAAGCCTGGTTCACCTTGCACATTGACTTGACTCGTTCCCACCTGCACAGAGCTGCATTAATGGGTGCAATGCATGTGAGCCCAGGGGTTCTCTGCTTTTAAGGGTAGAGGAGTATTTGGGCTGCCCTAGGAGCTCCTAGACACCTCATTATAAACTAGCAGCACCAGGATGGAAAAACTGTTCTCAGAAATTTTGCTGAACACGGTGAATATGAACTCACACGCTGCCAAGCACCTCTCCCCGCTGCAGATCCACGTGTCTGGCTGGTCACAGAGGGCTGAGCCCTGTTTCCGAGCCCAGGCCGGTGCTCCCAATCCCTGCTCACAGAGCTCCTCCCCAGGGGCTCCAGCTCTCCCGAGCTGCTTTAATGCCCTCTAGTGCAGGCTCCGGTATCAGGCTGCTCCTCCGGCTGCCTCTGCTAGAGCCAAAGCCCTTCTAGCACATGCAAAATGCCAAATTCCACCAAGAAAATGGTCAGCTGGGTGATTACTTTTAAGTGCATAACATTCCCATTAATATTTTATTTTCTGGATTTTTTTTTCTATTTGCTTAGCATCTTGCAGGATCAAACCACAAAAGGTGGAAATGACCCATATAAAAAGTCATCACCAAGAAATTGGTGCAAATACAGGGCGCACCTGGCTCCTCTCTCCCGCAGCCCTCAGAGAGGCCGCCGGCTGAGCCCGCTGTGGTTCGGGAGCCACCAGCTGGCTCTCACTTTCTGTCAGCACAAGGAGGGAACAATTGGTGGCAACAGACTGAGAACATCACTAACAGTTTCTGTTCCTGCTTGTGGCTCTGGAAGAAGGACAGTTTAACCGGAGAAAGCAGAATTATCATACTCTACACGTGCTGTATAGCCAGGCTGCTGTGGTGGGTGCATGCTTGGAAGAACTAGCTGATAAAATGCTTCAAGGATGAGCATGCCAATTCCCGCAAAATTGTTGCCACGCTAAAAGGAGCAAGTGCTCTGCTGTGAAAAAAGTTATACCAGTGACCTCAGGTGTTTTGCTAACAAGAATCATGCTGCTTGCAAATCTCATCCTCTCACATCTCCAGCCAACATCATGCAGCACAAATCCTATCTGCAATTCCTGCTAAAGCAAGAGTTTTAATGCATTTGTAGTGCCTGCCACCTTGTCAGCTCAAAACATTTTCTTTTGCCATTAAGTTTTTGATCTGCTTCATGTGGAAAAGGATGCAGCCTAATTCCCTCATTATAAGGTCTGAGAAAGAGAGGCTATGGGCCAAACAGCATGGAACCCCAAAGAGGTTTCATTTCCTTTGGCTGTGGGCAGAATTTCATGCACATGCACTGCCCGCGCAAGCTGCTCATTCTCCATCTCCGCTAGCAGTGCAGCAGGCACAAAGCTGGTTAATTTTTTCTGTTAGCTTGATCAGGTCAGTCTAAATGCACTTTTTTTTTTTTAAAGTTCATTTTTTAAAAAATAGATACCACATTATTTCTGCATCACGGTCATGCTAAGTGTCCAGGCTGTATTTTAAATGCCTACGGTGCCTGAGACTGGCTCAGCAAACTGCCGCTGCCGAGCAGCAAACGCACTGACACGAGCTCTGCTGACACTAAATGCATCAGAAAACCTGACGCCGAGAAGTGTGGTCTTTTCTAAGCACTGAGCTGGTTACACGGGGTAAGACTCGAGCTGTTTGGCCTTGTTACGAGAACCCACATGTCAGACAGTAATTTTCTGACTTGTGGGCTAGGTGCAGGGGCACTCTGCATGTTCTTGCAGTCGAATGTGTCTGAACCCTCAGCAAAACACAAACTGAAAGCAAAGGGGGAGAGACAAGAGGCACGTCAAAAGCAGCACCAGGCTCTTATCCACATTGCTTCTAGGCTAACATTTGCCTAAGAGCCAACACACCAGCTTTGCTGGCCCCACTGAGATTTGGCTGAATGCCAGGGTTAGGATTAGTGCTATCAGCTCATCTGCTGCTTTGGTAGAATCAGTTCCTTCTTGCTTGGTTTGCTGTAAAGCAAAGTTGCAGTTTTCAGGCAAATTGCATATATTTTTTTTTGCAAAATATGTCCCGACTCCTGTTCAAGAAAGATGTGACCAATTTTAAATATCATTTTGGATATAATGTTTCTATAGTAGGTGTGCACTTACTCCTTTTCATGCTGTTTTTGCTGTGAAACTTCAACTTAAAACACGTCCAACAATGTCCTAGAAAATAAGCTGGTGTTTGTGTCTCCATTAGCTGATACACATGATGCAGTTTTGCATTTGAACCAAAACATGCTGGTGTCGTTCTCTGAATAACCGTACATCCCACAAAGCCACGAGAGGCAGAGAGAGCACAATTCCCTTGCAAACCACAGATCTTTTCTACAGAAACCGTATGTTATCATGGAAAAGCTACAGATTTCCTATGCAACATACATACACATTTCTGAGTCAAGTACTTCTTCCCTCTCTAACCTATCTCAACAATATCACGACAACACGATTTTGAACTTCCTGAGGGTTAAGCCTGTGGCTGGCAGAGGCACAGCCACCTTTTTAGATTGCCTGGAGCCCTCCAGTCTTCAGAGGCTTGCGTGTTTAACGCGAGGTTTTGCTTCCAAAGTAGCTCAAAATAATATAATTATATCCAAGAAGAAACAGAATAAGGACCAGTTTATTTGGTTAAACCAGGGATATGTAACAACAAATCTAAACAAAGGGTAAACGTTTGCGTATTCTTAAGTTTATAAAACAAGAAGTATGTATGCAGCTTCAAGAGATGCAGGGAAGGGGAGGGAGGCTGTATTAAGGGAACGCCTCTCACTGTGGTTATGCTACAGCCAACCCCAGCGCAAAAGGGGGCAAACCATTTCCATGACGGTCGTGCTGTTCTCAGAGGACATTTCCTTCTCTCCGAGCACGTAACCCTAACCCCGGCAAAGTTTAGTAACAGTCTCTTCTGACCATCTAAAAATAACCCCCTATCGTGACAGAAAACGCCACCGCAGTGAAAAACAGCTCCAATTAAGTCATAAATCGAAAAACCAATCCCCCAGCATACAGCTACAGGAAAAACATGGGTATTTTTTTCTGCCAGCAAGAAAAAAATGTTTTTTTTCTCTCGTAGTTTTAAGATGAACTTTTCTTTTTTCTTTTTTTTTTGTGAAAAACAAAGCAATGCCAATATAATATTAAATGAGAACGGAATGTATATGAATGCCATATATACCTTTGAGGTTTTTCGGCCTGTTAAACTATATGTACATATATTCTTACTTCCCTCTGTGCTTATTCGGCAACTAGCAAATACTTGATAAAGAAAATTAAAAAATCTGTGGAGTGCCAAGTAATTCCATACTTAATTATGTAAAGCCATTAGAGAGCAGATACAGAATAGTAAGAGATCATGCTGGAAAGAAGAGCCTCACTTTCACTGTACCTGCAGAAAGATGGGGTTTCTCATGGTTTATGATGGACCACACACAGCTTTTATCCATCGCTGTTCTTGGCAGATTACTGTGGCAAATCCTGCATTAAACCAATCGCTGCTTAATCTGATTGATATCTTCCTGTAAAACACATTTACACATTCATCTCTGCAGCTGATTTTTCTGTCATTTTCCTTTGTAATCTTCTGTAGTAAAAGGAAGGTACAGAATTAAGTTAGTTGTTAGGCTCTCTTAGTTGTTAGGCTCTACAGCAGTTTTAACCAGATATGGATTGGACGTTAAAAATAAAAATCGTCCAGACTTGGCCAAGATAAAAGATATTTCCGAGATCTAATCACGTGCATGATGACTAATGACATGCAGGAAAACACATTTCCAAACTGAAAAACAGGATGCTGCGTATTTTCTGCATTGCCATCCAACGTTGATCTATTATGAAATTTGAATCGAAAAAAACATCTAAAATGGTCCAAAATGTAGCCCCAGCCAAGATGCTGAGTGCACAGTGGTGATAGGAAACCTGGAAGAAAAGCTTGTTCTAGCTGAAGAAAATTATTTTCTACGATAGATTTCAATAACCGAAAGCTGTCTTTCATTTTTCCAGATTCTTAAGATCATACGAAGTGCTTAGAAGTTGAATATATAGAAATGTAAAACACACAGTTTCAGGGCCTAGGGTACAAAATAATAACAATAAATTTAATGGATAATTCCATAAATAACAACAAATAGGAGAAAGCACTGCTTGGGAAGATATTTTCATTTTGGTCATGAAAGAATGGATAGATGGTTCCATGAAGGAGAATCTAGTAAACATAGATAGAATTTTATAAAACCCCTTCAGTACAGTGAATAAAAAAATTAAAGAGTTGGTTAAAAAAGTTTATTTGGAAAATACACAACTGCTTTTATTAAAAATATTTTTCTTTTCTAAACTAACTTATATACATACACTATACACACACATACTCTGCTGAAATATGTATTACTATAATGAATCCATAAAACTATGTATTCTACAAAAATTGACCTAAGGCTTTGCATTTCTTGGATATAATACTTTTTTTTTTTTCCCCCCTGAAATTGCCCCCCCAAATTAAGCAAGTGTAAGAAACTCAATGTATTGCTAGCAATTTCTTGTAGACACTGTTATTTACATTACTGGAACAGGTACCTCTTCTACTAGTGGTTGACATCAACTGGCCACTGCTGTTAGTACTGTTGGGATCAAAAGACTCTTTACAGCCAAAGAGACTGACAAGTTGCCTCTGATACTGAGAAGAGGCATAATAGTAAACAAAGGGATCGATGCAACAACTAAAGCTGCTGATACAAACACAGAGTAGGTAGGCAAAGTAGAGATACTCTAAACTGTTGTCGTAAGAAAAATGCACATAATGAATTAATAGGAGGACATTTGTTGGTCCGAAACAAATAATGAAAACAGAAAAGACAGCTATACACAAGAGCAAGGCACGTTTCTTCTTACTTTCTTTTGCAACAATGCCAGAAGAACTAAGGCACCGAATGATACACAGGTAGCAGACGCTAGAAATAATAAACGGTCCCACGAAGAAAACAGAAGAGAAAACGGAGAAGAAATGAACGTAGTAGCCGTGAAGTTCGGACTCATTTAGCACATCGTGGCAGGTGGTTATATTTAGGTGGGGGATTTCCATCGTTTGCTCCCGGAGGAGAAAAGGCAGGACGCCGGCTATGGCCAGCAGCCAGACGAGGAGGCAAGCGGCGGCGGCGCGCGGCAGCGAGCGCCACGCCAGGGAGCGGATGGGATAGACCACGGCCAGGAAGCGATCCACGCTGATGCTCGTCATGAGCAGGACGGAGCAGTACATGTTGCAGTAGAAGGCGGCGGTGACGAAACGGCACAGGCCGGGCCCAAACGCCCAGTCGTTACCGGAGAAGTGGTAGGCGATCTTGAAGGGCAGCACGCTCACGAAGAGCACGTCGGCGGTGGCCAAATTGAGCATGTATATCACAGCCGGCTTCTCGAGCTTCACTTTGCGCAAAAACACGAGGATTGCTGTGATGTTCAGGGGGAGGCTCAGCACAACCACTAGCAAGTAGACTGAAGGCACAAAACGTGTCAGCCAGGGGCTGGTGAGGTATCTTTGCGTGGCTGCCGATACCGTCCGCTGTCTATTTAGGGACGAATTTGCCTGACGGACGGATCCTGATCCAACTTCTGTGTCGTTTTCAGTCTCGTTCTCTAGCTCTTCAAGAGGTATCGGGTCATCGTGGTTATTCAGGTTAGGCATGACAAAAGTTCTGCCCCTCATTCTGCTGCTGTTATATAGAGTAGCTGAAAAATAAAATGGTGTGAAGATTAATAAGCAAATATTTACATACTATGGGAAAAGTAAAATATCTCACATAAAAGAAAAGCTAACATAGCATTGGCAACATGAAGCATTAAGATTCATTCCTTACAGCAGGGGCTCCCCACATGTTTTTCCATTTTTTCCATCTCCATATGTTTTACCATCCAACATCCAGCTGCTGTTACAAGTTTGGACAAGATTTCTCTCCCTTATCTCTTCACTCGTAAACTCTTTATGGAAGTGACTCAACTCTTCGCGCAATCTTTTCCACATTCTCTATAACCTACCTTAGCACAAATACAGTGATAAATTTGCCACCTTGAGCTTGCTTTTGCAGATGTTCCCTCAGGAAACACTCACCAACTTCATTACAACACCAAGACACGCAGCAGCCGTCTTCAAACAGCTTCTTATTGCTGACACAAATCAGGCTTCTGCCTGTACCAAACAAGTGGCCACGTATTCCACATTTTTTTCACAGTTGTTGTTCTCATAACACACATTGTGCAACCAGAACAGCACTGCAGGGCAGCTGCAGGAGAAGGGCTGGGGCATCTCACTTTGTGAGCACTGGTGAGCAAACAAGCAGGTACTGCAGATTCTTACGGATCTGGTCGCTTTCCATGAAAAATCTTGACCTTCATTTGATCCCTTTCCTGACAGTGATTCATTAGACCAACATGAAAATATACTGTAGGTGAAGAATAATGATTGTTTGAGTTGCTTTTCATCAAACAGTAGACCATTACCTTAGCTACTATTTATAATAATTGCAACTTATAGCATTGCTAATGATTTCAGTTGTTATCCTGAATTCTTGGGGCAAGCTCACTTAAAAAAATAAGTTTTACATGACAGTTTTTACATGTTACTCCATTATCAAACTTTTAAAAGAGCAGAATTGTGTTACACTAGTTCGGGATAAGAAAAATGTAGGCAATTTTAATGCAATTAAAAATCTCATGAATCATACTTGAGGGAGAAGCGTAATCTACTCTCTGTGTAAGTGAAGAAGTCCTAAGCTCAGAACTGAATTCAACTTGTTATGAGCTCCGCAGTGTGTGTTGTGGCAGACCAGGTCTACATCCTGAGCTTAAACGGCATGCAAAGTGCTTCCCAGGGGTCAAGTCTATGAAAAAGGGGACACTCATATTAAGGGTAAGGAGGTATCACCAGCATCAAACATGAACAACTTCAAGCTCGACATTTGTTTACCATTTCATAAGACAGACATCAGAAATTTAAAGGCTTTCATAATGAAATTCAATTTGATTTTAATATAAAGGAGTATAGCCAGAAAACTTTTTTCCCCCTTGTCAACACCATTTACATGACATCATCTGTATAGTATTGCACAAAGCAATAATACACCTAGTTACTACCCTGAGGTTCTGGATTCCTTTTGCATCAGCGTTTATTTTGAACGAGCCAGCAATCTGAGCTTTATAAAGAGAAGGAAAGAGCATGAATTTATGTCTAATTATTTCAAAAGCTCTTAATGGACCTTAACAATAAGCATATAAAGATCAGTAACAGGATACATGCTCTTCCTATAAAGTTCCTATAATACAACAAAGTTAAGAAAGATGCAGTACGTCTCCAGAAAAGAAATGACTTGAAAAGTACTTTTTAATAGCTACAATTATGCTAGAATCTCAAGTCAGAAATATCTTTCTTCATGTTTGAAAGCTGTAGATATTGTCTATAAAATACAATTGACTATAGCTTAAGTTATTCTAATAATACAAATCTGTTAAGAGAACAAGATTAAAGATGGACACATAACAGCGTCCATCATAAATATTCAGCCATCCTATTTTCATTAGGCTGTCACTCAGCTCCTGTGGAAGAGATTGGACCGCATGGATAATCATTATTATTATGACTAATAAATAGTTCTCACTGCTGATTTGACAGCATTAATAGCTGCAGCAAAGTATTTGTGAAACACAAACAGAGTTTACTAGCAGCTAAGAAAGAATAGGTTAAAACACTCAGGTTTCATCACCACGGTGTGCATGCAGGACACTTGACCACGTCCAGTCGAAACTTCAGTATAATCAGTACCACACTCCAAACACCTAACGCTCTCTTTTATTGTCTGTAGGCTCTGCCCCAAGCCTCAAGATGGATTTAGAGAAGTAAGGAAGAAAAAGCATCCCAGTCTGTGGGGTTTTTTTTTTCTTCATTTTAACAACCTACACAGTGCCGTTTGCAATCAGGTGCTACATTTCGTAGGTCTGCTGAGCAGCATATGCATGCTATGCCCATCCTGGAAAGGCGTTACTTTTTTATAGAGAGCTGTTTCGCATTCATTTTAGGCCTGTTTTCATTTGTACGAGGCTACTGCATGCATTATTCTGTGAAAAACAAAGCCGAGGGCAAAAAACAAAACGGGCAAGTTCCAGTTGGCAAGTGGCCACCTGAACAGCAGCCTTGGCGCACAGGAAAGAGCAGAGCAGCATGGCCAGGGGCAGCCACAAAAGCGTGGGCTTTCATCTGCTGGCAACAGCACAAACAAAGTTTCCTGAGGGCCAGGGGAATATTCTGCAGCATCTCTGCAGACCCATCAAGCCTGCCAGCACTCTCCAAACCAGCGAGCTTCATGTGCCTGGGGATATTTTTGTAAGGTGAAAACCTTTTATAAGGTGAAAAACAGTTGGTTTGAGGCTCTGACTCAAGCCGATTACTAACATCCTTTCTTATGTGCTGCTGGACAATTGCTAATGCCGATTTATGAGCATTACTGATGACAGCTGCATTCATACTGCTGGCTTGTAATGAAAAGACCATTCCTTTTATCTCCTCTTTGGATAATCCTGCACCGATAAACATCTAAGTGGACCGTAAATTAGTTACTCACAGGCAGGGTGAGGAGTAGAAGCCAGGCACATTTACAGTGTGAGACAAAGTCATGTAGGCCAGATGGCAAACGCTTGCTTTCATAACAACAAATACCGTATTTCCTTTTAAAAATGTTTCTTGATTCCGTATTTTCCTTCAAGCTACTTGTGCAGCCCCAGTGATACAGCAACAGTCTTCCTTATTTTCTTGCAAGCAAGAGCCTGTTCTTTTTCTGCTTTCCTTCCTTTCCTCTTCTCGAGAGCTTTGAGCACAGGTGCCCAGCTCAAGCAGGGGTGACATCTCTCAGCTCCAGTGCCTCTACAGGACCACAAGGGTGGTCCCTGGCCAGTCACCATGGGCTGCCCAGCCTTCAAGAGGCAGCAGGACATGGTGAACACCCTGTCCTCATCCCAGCAAACATCTCATCCCAACCCAGTTGCTGCTTTTTAAGGCCTGCAGGTCCACTAGGGACCACCAAAGTCAAGGTGAGAACACAGTGAGCGAAGATGCAGTAGCTGCAGGTGCTCCGAGACCAAAGTGCAGGTCTGGGGACAGAGCAGTTCATGTGTGGAGGAAATGAAGTACGTAGTGGTGGTAAGAGGGAATTATCCGGCACCATGGGAAAATGACATTCCATAGGGAGTGGCTGCAAGGAGAGCAGGATGCACATCTAGATGGACAGGTTTCATTGCTTTCTGCTGCCCATGAAACTGATTGCTCTGAGTTTCTCTTTTCTCAGCAGTAGTAATGTAATACATGAACTATTTGGATCACCACTTCCTAAGGAAGCAGCAAACAAACAGTATAACTGGGAGTGATCTTTAATGAAGACAATAATTGAAAAAGACAGGAAAAAAAGTTTGAATATTTCCATAAAATGGAAGAATCGCATTCCAAGAAACAATCTTGCTCTATTATTAACTTGTTTGTGGTTACTTACTCCCGTCTTTTTCTTTTTAAGGAATCTTTCCTTAGATTTCCAATATCAAGACAGTTATGGTCTCTTTATGCTCATTCGCCCCTGTATTGACATGTTCTTTAGCCTAAATAATCCTCCTTTTCTGATAATTCTCTTCCTAACGTAACTACAAAGACCATCTCTATCACCTTTCACCTCTTGGTTTCAGTAGATGCAATTTCCCAGCAGGTATCCCCAATGGTTAAAGTATTCATTCTTGCCAATTCTTCGCAGAGGATCATCACGGGATCCCAACAAACACAACTCTGCTCTGAGCTTACTTTCTCCTTTCCTACTTCTCCTTTTTGATTTTATATTATGAGAGGTCTTAAAAAAACAACTGCTAGTTCGCATTTGGGTGTTTCTCCTTTTGCTCTCCAGGGTTAAACCCAATTTACCAGTAGTCTTAGCTACCTCTCAATGCACAACCTTGCCACTTGTGCTGCTGCGCCTTACCAGAGACCGGAGAGTCGCACAGCAAGCACCGTGTTCACGTTGCCCCTTACTTACCCGTTCCCTCGGCATGTGCCGTGCTCAGAGCTGTTCAGAGCTCAGTCGGACTGCAGGACTCGCTAGCTGTGGCGACCGTGGGGTCGTGTTTCTGTTAATTTAACTGCGATCCAGGTGAGGATCCAGGCATGGTTAGGGCCGACCTGCCCTGCGTGGCCGCTCTGCCCTGCTCGGTGCCAGCCGCACGCTCGGCACCTCCTGGGGCTGTTACAACGAGGACAGGGCCACTTTTGGGAGCAAACCCCCCTGTCCCCAGCCTGGCTCCTGCTGCCCATGCCCTTGGCCGCTGCTGGGCCACTGCCCGGGGACACCTCTCAGCTACCCTTCATCTCTCACCACCTCAGGTGCCTGGGGCCTTGCAGAAACCCACGCCGTCCAGATCTGACTTTGCCTTTAAAAAATAAGAATTCTCTTATTGCTCCGGTCAGACAACGTCGGGCTGATCCTGCTTTTGCAAGGCTAGCATTATGTTTTAGCCAGCCTATCTACTGCTGTACCTTTACTCTGCTGTTAAAAGATTAGAGTGCTCTGAGGTTAAAAAAGAAGTTAACTCTGAAGTTTAAAAAACGCAGAACAGCATTTAAAAACACCACAGAAAACAATATTTACAGCGCCGACGAGAGCTCGGAAGCAGCAGGCCGCGAGGGCGGCTCGGCACCGGCCAGCGAGGCCGCGCACCGAGACACCCGTTTATTTTTCCCGGAGCGGGAGGCTCCGCGAGCGCCGCCCGGACCAACGCGGCGCGGGGCACGAGGAGCCGCCGCCCTCCCGCGCTTCCCCGCCGTGGCCAACGGCCGCCGAGCGCCGTCACGCGGCGCCCGGCCCGGCGCGGGCGGCACTCACCGTTGCGGGCGGCGGCGGGCGGCGGGAGCGGGCAGCACAGGAGCCCCAGGGCGCAGAGCAGCGCGGGCGGCGCCCGCAGCCCCATGGCCGCGCGCCGAGCAGCGCGGGCGGCCCGCGAGGGGCCGCTATAAAGCGCCCGGGGCCGCCCCGGCGAGGGGGAGGCGCCGGCGGGGAGCGCGACCCTCCCGCCGCGGCCCCGCTCCGCCCCGCTCCTTCAGCGGGGCCGCGGCTGGGAGGGCGGCCCTGGGTTCAGCAAAGGCGCTGCTCCGAAGGGGCAGGGCAGCCTCAAAGAGGCGGGGTGCCTCGCGTGCTCCCTGCGGAGCGGTACTGCTCCTGGGAAGCGCCCCGGGAAAAGGAGGGAGCCGTCTCGGCCAAGCTGCACGTGAAGGAAGAGCCTCATGAGCTAAACCAAAAGCTCATCAAAACCAGAGAAAACTAAATAATGACTGCAAAGTTATCAGAATAGACTCTTGAATCTAACGCTGGAATACATAGAGTGCTTTGTTTTCCATAGGTCTAATACAGCTTAAGTATTAGATGCCTTTCCTTTTAATGGTCTTTTTAAAACAGAAAGCAAGAGACATGGAAAAAAACATCAGTATTCCTGGCTGCAAGCACCAGTTGACAGTAAGAACCATTTCTAATCTTTGCTTGCTCTATATTGTACTTCCCACAGTCCTAGTACTTGCTAAATACTGTAACTGTGTTTAGACAGGATCCAACTTGTACCAAATAAGGAAAAATAATAAGTGAAAGTCACAATACTAGCCAGCCTTTCCACAGACAAACAAGCTTGCTTGAATCTTTCTCACTCATTCAAGACAGTATCACCCCCAAACAAACCAGGAAAGCCACAGAAAACATTATACACTTAATAAGAGACAACTCATTTTTGAGTATGTGGAAGACAAAGTGAAGCTCTCACTGTGCACTCCCAGCACTGCCTCAACTTTACAAGCGTATCCAGAGGTGATCATTAGAGCCTCTCCTGCCCAACACTGCTGTAGCGTGCACATAACTGGAAGCTCCCTGTGCTTCCCATCAACAGTAAAAGCTGAATTCATCTTCCATGCTGCACCCTCCCGTCAGCTGCAATAGCTGAGGAGTTAGAGTGTGCTTGTGGGGGACAGAAATCCCATTACACTATGGGCAGTTTTAAAGCATTCATCTGCTCTCACAGAACTTCAGAAAAATAGGGCCCTCTCTACTGCTTAATCCAAGCGCCCTGGGAACAGACAAAGGGAGATCCATTGAATTGCCTTGCATCAGAGGTGCTCTGCTTTCATTATCCTAGTCTGCATTTATACACGCTCAAATGCATTTTTAGTGTGGTATCAGTGACCTACACATGGATTGTCTTGGAACAAAATATATTGAAAGAAAAGAGGAAATAACACCAACGCACCTTTTATTGTAAAAATATCACATGGACCCACTGCCATTCTCAAGTAGTCACAGCTCTCTCAAAATGCTGCCATCACTGAGAAACGCAACAGGAGACATCTCGACAATTAGGAGGCAGGAGATCAAGCTCAGGGGTGGGACTAGATCCCTCAAAGCTGTAAAGACCCAAAGTACTTCCTGCACTTCTGTAAAGAAGCATTAAACCTCATTTTCTCAAGTTTACTGGGATGTACTTAAACTTGAAATGAGTCAATATTTTAATTTCATAAGAATGACTTTGATAGTAGATACCAAGACACCAGGAATGACTACTGTACTGAGAAAATAATTTTGTTCATTTATCCCAATATAATGCTACCTTATGCAAGTTTTGTTCCTATTAAAACTACCATTGGAAAGCAAATAACAGAGTTATTTTGTACTTGACAGACATTTGATATAAAGATCACATGAGGTAGAGACTTTCATCAAAATGCTTACCAGTACCCTATGCTCTGAGGAGCAAGAGATGAAGAGCAGGTCTTGGGTTGAGCTATCAAGATCCACAACATGCAGACCAGTTATGCAGTAGCCAGTGCAGTCACAGCAGCAGAATTTTATTAATTTTCTTGAAATATCTAGGGATTAAAATGTAAACATACAGAAACTTTTTCATTTGAAAAAATTGATAGAGGCTCTTGCAATTATTTATTGTCTCTTGTTGCATCTTAAGTGTGACAATTGCAAATTTATCTGCCCCGGAACTCAGTTCAAGATGATAACTTTAAACATTCTCTTAAGTGATTTATGCTGCTCTATAGGCTGAATGAAAAACCTGATCCCTGATTAAGACTTTTGTTAGTATTCTAGAATACAAGAAGAACACAAAGAGCAGATCTAGTGATTTCATGGGACCTAATGCTCCACTGCCGGACACAGCACTGGCACTGTGTACATATTAGCACTGTGTATTGGTACCACTGATACATTCAAAAAGCATCTGCAAATACCTACATTTTGTACAATGCCTTCTGGCTGTAGCATCTTGAAGGTACCTGCAATATGGCAAGTTTTCCAGGGTGAAGATATTGGGTCCCGGAAGCAAGATCAGGTTCTGAAACAGGGTGCATTAGACATAAGCTGGAAAACAATAATCCTTTAAGGAACTTTCTGCACAGAATGCAGACAACTTGCTACTTGCAGTCTGTGCATTTACAATACTACTAAAATATTCTAGATAGGGTAGTCACAAGATAGGGTAAAGCAAACTAAAATAAACTAAAAACTTAAAAGAAAAAGTGTAGAACTTGACTCTGGAAAAGCTTAACATCCGTTCTTTATAGTTAGACTAATTCTATATGAGTGGAATGTCACCAGTCACCACTTAGCTCTACATGTTCTTGCATCCCTTTTGGTAGTTTTGGCAGCAGCACGCTATAGTACAACATTTTCAATACTGTAAAGCATGCTTGGTCTAATAAAAATATTCTACAACTCTCCAGTAACATTATTGCATCTTTCCTCCATTTCTTTTCACTACCTCTGGCTGGGAAAGCATGTTTAGGAAACAAGCAAGTCTCTCAAGCTGATGTCATCATGGTCATACTTTCCAGATTCTTCAGAGGCTTAATTCTTGTTGGAAGTTAAAGTTTTATAGCTGTAATGATGCAATTTCTAATACAACCACTGCTGAGCAAGCAATATCCATCATTACTGACCTTTCCTCAATTTCCATCACCAGCAAGGCATGTTTCTCCACAAGATAGGTTGCACTCAGAGTAAAAATAGTATTGGCAAGTCATATCCAACTATCAGTGGCAAACCTCAAGTAGCAGGTTGAAGGAATCTCCAAAAAGTCATCCTTGTCGGATTTAGTAGGTACAAGCAGGTATGACAGCACTGGGTGGGGACAAAATTACTTGGACCATTTGCTTGGAACCAGGTATTACCTGACAATCTTCTATTTAAGTAGGAATCACTGTGGTCAGTCTTGCTTTGCAGGATTCATTATTTCAGTGATAAAGATTGTAGACTGACCTAGTTACCCTAAGAAAAATGTTTCTGTAGGAGATTGAAGAAAAATAGATATTAACATTTGAAATGTACTAAAAGAACAAGAATCTCAACAAATTGTGGAAAAAGATGAGGGAGGCCTAGCATAGACTGCATTTTCCATGGATGTCATTCCCTGGGAACCAAGTAAGCTTCCACACATTAGATGTGCCTGAAAAATTACTGAGGATACCGTTCACTTTAGTTCTAAACATAGGATTGCACTGAATGTGTTTAAATACACCAAACAAAGCTGCATACACAGGAGTGAATTATTCACATACGCACAGGTTCGAAGGGGCTGTGAACATCACACCAACAGCAGTCCTGCCTTTTGATTCATTACCTTAAACACTGGGTCTGGATTGACAGCTGGTTGGTGCAAAGGTACCTGCTTAGGTAAAATTTGTCAGAAATACGCAGGAATTAGCCTCAAGTCTGTTACAGATAAAAGGGAAAGCAAAAAAGTAACACCAAACTGTGAATTTGTATTCAAGTGCAATTCAACCTTTCTCCACTGGAAGAAAAGGGAACCAAATACTGCTTTCAGCTTCTCAAACAGTTGTTTTAAGTGAACCTGGAAATTAATACTATAGTAGTTATATGATGTTAAAATAGCTTATGTAACAGTATGTAAAAACAAGCCAGAAGAAAAAACTAAGAATCTTGGAGCTAATCTTTTAATTAGGGATATTAATGCACATAAATATCTACAGTAAATGTATGTTTTTTTCCAACTTGTAAAATATAATCAACTAAGCTAGTATCTAA